TAAACACCAAAGAAGAAAATCAAAAACACTAAACCCTGAACTCAAATATTTAGTTAAATACAAAAGCTTGTTTAACTAAAGAAAATACACTTTCTCTCTCTCTTTTGACCTGCCACCCTCTGGCAGACGGTACAGAAGCCTGCAGACCAGGACCACCCGACACAAGAACGGTTTCTTTCCCCTCACCATCTCCCTCCTTAACAATTGAACTGTCCCACTGCTTCAAACTGCTAGACTGCAACTGCACTTTATGTACATTCTGTGGTATTCATTTCATTTCTGTAATCCTGTATTTTCTGTATATAAGATTTAGATTAGTTATTTCATTGTTGGTTTATACACATTTGTATATGTATATGTAAATATCAATGCGAGTCTGGCATTGATATTTGACATGACAGCAGAGAGGTGAATTTGGCATTGATATTTGACGTCTGAGTATTACCTCATCATTTAGTCATAGATGATGACTGGGTAAGTCGGTAGAAATTCATTGTTGAACTTTAGAACTAAATAAAATATGACAAAATAAATCATATGCTGAGATGAGATGCAAAGCCGTATGAAGCCGTTCCATCGATGGGGGTAAAAATATCTCAAGAGCGAAAAGTTGAGGAAAAGTTAAAGTAGTTGATTGTTTTTTGCTTGTTTGTTCTCCTCTTGCTATTTCCTTAAAATATCCACAGAAACCAGGCCTGTCTTTCCACCAGATAGCATTCTTTGACTCTGGGTATAATAGCAAAACAATGAAAAACACAGTAATTTGAGCAGAATCAGATTACATTCACATTACTCTTTGTTCCAACACAGTCTGCTTACCTGTGACTGGCCTGGCCTATGAGGTGGTGATAAACCTCCATCTGAGTCCCTTCTACTCAGTGGCCGCACCCTGGGTGGAGACTGTCTGGGAGTCGGAGCCCTATTTGGTTTCTGAGGGCCTCCTTGGAGGAGACTGGTCAGAGTCTGAATCATGTCTATTCTGATCCTTCTTAGCCACCGCTGACTGATCCGGTGAGCGTTTTTTAGTTAAGGATTACTTAAGGATGAACTGAACTTGCTTTTGTTGAATGCTGAGTCTGATAAAGACACAGTTAATTTCTTGTATTAGATAAGTTGATCTGTGAGGGAAACACAGAGGTTTGATATTAGCAATCATATCAAACATTATTATTATCTAAATGAGGAGTTTTTCTTTTGTAATG